ACTCAACGGAAGCCCCAGAGCCCAGAGAAGGTCACTCTGACTGTTCGCTGGCACTTGTTCGTTTCGAAATTGCTGGCTTTGGAAGGCGTCTGGTTCGACTATCATCCGCCTCGATGTCATTCTGCCCCCAAGGAATGCCTTACAAGGACACCAGCCTCGCGGAGCGAGAGCGCATGCTCATTGAGGTTTACAATAGAGTTGAGCAAAAGTTTTTGAAACACCACACTGGCGATTCTGATCCGTTGCATTGGATGGCTGCTTCAATTGCGCGCATCATCATGGCCAAGATGACGTTGGTAATTTACCAGCCGGTCCTCTTCCCAGGCTCCGAGGGCGAAGGTACACTTTCGGAAGAGGCAAAAGAACGTGCCTACGTTGCAGCGATTGAAATTGCCGAATACAATCACATCTTGAATAACGACTCGAGGTCTAAACAGTTTAGGTGGCTGTTCAAAACCTACACCAACTGGTCAGCTATGGCCTACTTCCTCATCGCCAGTTGCCGTCGGCCGTGGACTCCTCTTGTGGAACGCGGGTGGGAAGCCGTTAATGGATACGAGGGTAGACCAGGACAACTGGTGCGATCCGCCGAATACGCAACCGTTGTGATGCCTATCAGGAAACTTTACATGAGAGCCCAAAGGCACCGCGCGGCAGAAATTGTTCGACTTCGCGGAAATCCTGAAGAAGCACGTCGGCTGGAATTCGAAGAAAGGACGAATCCCAGATACCAGGCTAGGTTTGGGCAAGATGCGGACGGTGCGGCCAACAAGATGGAAGAAATAAGGGAGAAATGGAAGGTTCTGGTGCGGTCTGATGGAAGTAACGTACCAATCTCGACGCCAGCTGAGCTGAGCCCTGTTATGCCACCGTCGATGCTCCAGCCAAAACAAGAACAAGTACCATCCCGCCCTCGGACACCATCAGCCTACGACGTTCCGGGAACGCTCGACCTTTCTGATACGACCATGGGTTACATGAATGACCTAATGGCAGACACCACACCCTTCCCCATGGTAAATTTATGGCCACTGCAGGACGTCGGCTCTGTTCAAATCAAGGCCGTGGGTACAGGAATGACGCCAATGTCAAACACCTCTCAGTTACCGCAAGATACGATACAACCAGGAGATACTGGCCAACAGTTCTCACCACAGACCATGCAATTCCCCAAGGACGACAACCCACCCCCTTACCTCTGGGGCGGGCAGTTCCCGTCGATGAACTCAAACTTTGATAATACAGGCTTGGACGATGTTGATATGCTTGGAGATGATTTCAACTGGCACACCTGGAGCCAGAATGTTCGCGGTTTGTAGATAGGATCGTACTGAGATAGACGGTCACTGACAGACTGTGTTGCCAGATAGTCGATATTGATTGACCATCGGCGTGTATTGGGAGTAACTACCTTGCCTATCTATTATGTATGATACCCAGCGGAATAAGCATGAGGTGGACGTTAATAATTTTAGACCATCTTTTATGAGGCGGATTAACCTTAGACCATTTTGTACAACGTGGAAATAATCTTAGACCATCTTTAATGAGGAAACATCGCACCGTCCCGACGCGTTGCTTGTAGAAATGTCCTCATTTGTGCGTCCGTGCTCTTCCACTGGCCATACGTATGGTTGAGAACAAATAATGCCAGTTCATGATTGGTCTCAGTGACAACCTCTCCCAGGCCTTGCAAGTCATGCTTGTAGCAACTGACTTCAGCTCGCGAATGACTTCCTCGATCCATGTTATAAAGTCCATAAACCGCAGGGCATATGCCAGCTCTGAGGAGGAGGGTAGTCAGGAGCAAACGGTACATCCGCCCGTTTCCATCTAAAAACGGGCGAATATTGATGAAGCGCTGGCAGAATTTGCTGGCATAACAGATCCTCTCCCAGACTTCCTCCTTGCTGAGCTGCTGCATGGTGATCACATTATATGGTACTTCTCTGGAGCCCATTTCCGCTATGAGGTTGTCGATCATGCTGAGCATTGCAGTGGTGATTTGAACCGGATCCATGAAACGCGGGCCGTACGTCGCACTCCAGGTGCGATAATTTCCGCTGTAGAGCGTCCAAGGCGTTTGCTGATTGATATCGATCTTGTAGGTCAGAATACGGTGGGCTTCCTTAAAGGTGGCCTCAGAAAAGGCTTCTCTATCAATGAAGATTTTTTGAATCAGGTACTTTGCAGTCTGGGCGTGCTGCAGGGTTTCCCGGTAACATCGCAGGATAAGTTCATGCGATACGGGGATGCACCTGAATTCCAAGTGATTTTTGATCTCTTCGTACTCGAAATCGTTCTGAGTAATCTCTTCTGGGGGCTGAGACGTTTCCTCAAAGACTACACGACAAAGTCTGTAGGTTGTTGGGAGACTTCCGCCTGCGACTGAGATCATGTTTGATCCGTAGATCATGCGGCTGAGAACCTCGATTATGTTGTACGGCTCTACCCGCGTCCGTTCCGTGAGGGCCCTCAGGAACGCGCAAGGTTCCATTGTTAGGGTTGCCATGAATATCGGAAGGGTTTGGTATACGGAGTGGCCTTTGGAAATGAAAGACGTTGATGATATCTGCCCAAGAGTTAAGAGAAGAAGCGTTGAGAGAAAGAAATGATTGGGAGGAGGGGGATGGAAAGCGAATGCATTTATAGACTTGGGGAAGGAGTTGCTTGACTGCAGAGAAAGAAGAAAGAGACTCCCAGAAAGTTTATGGCCCGAAGTTTAGGTAGGAAGTCTTGGTTATGGAGGGAATTTGCCTAAAGCTTCCTGAATTATGAGAGGTCTAGGATGATTCTTTAAATTATAGGAAGCTTATGCTGAAGTTTAGGATAAGATTCCTAAATTATGAGAGGTCAGGATAACTCTCTTGGTTATAGAAGGAGTTCTTCCATCGATGATAGGGTATCTACCAAACTTAGAGTATCTTGAAGATTTATGGTGTCTCTCCTACCTTGTGATTTACTGGCTCATATACAAGTCTAACTTGGTATGTGGATCAACCGTGAATGCAAATCTCAGCCTCGATATCATTCGACGGTTTCTATGTCTATGAAAACTCAGAGTTTCTCGCTATCAGCTTTAACCTTTCTCTCCTCTTCCAAGGTATCTTCTCTTCGCCTCACTTCAACATTGGTCGGTCCTCCTTTGCCAAAGTGAACAAGGACCACATGTTCCCAATCGCCACCTCTCTCAGAGCCCCTGAGTTCTGGTCCTGGTTTGTCCAGCCCGAGAACTATTCTCTTGTCCTGTTGTCTAATAAAAAGATTATGAGGACTCATAACTTTCTCACTCCAGGGGATCATGGCTGTCTTGTGCGCTTGGCCCTTCTCTGTCTCTGCTGTGGGCACTCGGTTCAGAAAGGACAGTAAGTTTTCTCTCTGTGTTGTGATTTGAGGAGGTCCTTGTCCATCTGATGATGCTTTTGAGTTCTGGAAGACTTTGGCGACTAAACTTAGGAGGAAGTACTGCGGTGGGAATAGGATGATGCTATTTGTGGCGGCACGGGCGAGGAATGATTCCGCGGGTGCAAAGAGGGCTGCTGTGTGTTCAATGCCATTGTCTGGTGTTGGGATAAGCATCTCTGATGGCATGTCACTTTGTGACTGTGGCAGCATGTAGAGATACATCTGCGTGGTGAAGCGTTTTGTGTTGGTGGCGGGTGTGATCCAGCGCGTAAAAGGGATGAGGCCATCTGTACTCGGTCAACAATCACTTGACCGCAATCTATGTTGATTCATTCTTACCCAAGTCTGGCTCAGCGCCTACTGACTTTAGCCACTCGAGAAACTTTACTTGGTTTCCATGTATCATTTTCCTTGCAGTGTCTCTATCCTCGACTGTCAAGTTTACCAGCTCGTTGTCCTTCTTGGCCAATAAGATACCAGTCTCTTCAAAGGTCTCTCTGATAGCACCAATTCTATACGCGAGTCCATCATGATGTCTCTCTGGCGAGTCTTCAGCCGGTATGATACCATCATGATAGGGGTCTAGATTTCCACCGGGGAAGACATGCGCCGAGGCGAATGATGTAGAGGTGTGTACACGGTGAAGTAGTAGGACCTCATTGACAGGCGAGACTAAGAGAACTGAAGAACTTGGCCGTGGCTCTGAAGGTGGAGGCTTACTCGCTGAGGATGATTGGCTTCGAGAGGTCATAATAGGCAGGTATATCCGGGGTATGAAGCTGAAGTTGTGTCTTGGAGCGGTCAAGTTTGTGTCACGGAAGAGTTGACGCGACAGAGACCGTCGAGTGACACAAAATAACAAAGACATGAGGAGTAACTAGGTATAGGGATTCATATATGGCCAATAGATTTGCAGTATGACTATAAGTTAATACTTGTAGGGGCATGTGAGGTCTGAAGCGCGGTTCAAGTGACGTCGAGCCGAGGTCCCGCTTGGTGATGGCTTTGGATCGGCTCCGAATGACCGGCCGGCCACAGACCCCGCTTCGCCGTAGACATATTCCCCTGACTCGAGAATAAGTATAGAGTGTTATATTGATTTACCCCTAGTCATATTTGACTTTTACAGACCACATGTTATTATTGTCAAGAATGGGGAGAGATGGTTGCGTTTGTAGTATTCATGATATTGCTTATTGAACCATTGACTAATAAAACAACAAAACCAAGCTTGCTTGGACTTACACTGGCAAGTTTAAACCATTAAGCAATTAAACATTTCTTTAATGCCAATTTTCGTTGGAAATCGATATCATATAGATTTTAAACAGTCAAAGAGGTCAAAGCTATGCCGGCCATGTTGAATTGCTTAATATAATAATTATTCCAGGGTAGATAGGAGACATCAACTAATAATACCACACACAAGCTCTATTACTTACACCGGTATAGCTATTACAATTGCTATAGATACCGTGTAATAAAATTATATTATAAAACCACTTGTTAAATGATTCATGCCACAGGACGCAGAGAACACAATAACTGCAAAAAAACAAAGCACATCTCAATCATGAATATGTATTTATAGGAACAGCCCGATGCGGGGGTCGAACCCGCAACCTTGAGATTGTGAACTCTTAAGAGTCTCACGCTCTACCGATTGAGCTAACCGGGCGTGCTTCGCCGGGGATCAAGCCGGATTGATGGGAGCAGCAAGAGAAAGTTCATACTATATGTGCTGAACCACCAGAAATGTGTGTGATTGATGTGCCTTGGTAGTTGTGTGGTGTGGGCTCCACCAGAAATAGTGTAGTGGGTGGTGGTGTTTGATTGGCTGACCCATTTTGTAGGTGCAGTCCAGTCACGTGAATTGATCCCGCCTTCCTCGTCTAGGGTTTGTCCCCCACGAAAAATCAATTTGCCCTGAAAACTGAAGCTACTGTCAGTTTGTTCATCTCGAGACCCGAACCCGACCACGACCTCTTTCACGAAGTAACGCCACACTAACCCTTCAGACAAAATGGCCAAGATCTCGTAAGTAGCTCTCGAATACCCTCAGCAGCTTCGCTTTAGGTCTCTCGTCTCGCTTCTCGCTATCTCGAATTTTGTCCGTCTCCTCCATCATGGGTTGCTCCGATGCGCAAAAAGAGTTGGAAATTATTTCGAGTGCTGGTTTTGGCGGGGAACATAGCGACCAATTTTGTGCCTGCGCACACAACGGAAATAAACGACAATATCATGAGAAATACGGCATCACTGGGTTGACCAGTGACGACGACATTCATTGCTTCTGCTTTGAATTTTTAAACTCGACTTCGACGACAGCGGCTTGACGCACAAACACTGCCGACGCCTTGAATCCACCATTTGGCAGATTCTGGCAGAAAATTCGACATAGCGAGAACGAGAACGAGAGACAAAGACGAGATGTTCAAGACAACAAAAACAAAATACTGACTCACTCTCACAGCCGTGGTGCCCCTGGTGGCAAGCTCAAGATGACCCTGGGTCTCCCTGTGTACGAAACCTCCCACTGCCGTAATCCCCGAACCACCAAACTGACTCCCTCTCCAGCGGTGCCGTCATGAACTGCGCCGACAACTCGGGTGCCCGAAACCTCTACATCATCGCCGTCAAGGGTATCGGTGCCCGCCTGAACCGATTGCCCGCCGGTGGTGTCGGTGACATGGTCATGGCCACCGTCAAGAAGGGAAAGCCTGAGCTCCGAAAGAAGGTCCACCCCGCCGTCATCGTCCGACAGTCCAAGCCCTGGAAGCGATTCGATGGTGTCTTCCTGTACTTTGAGGACAACGCTGGTGTCGTATGTACAATCAACACGAGAAGAGACAATTGGAGACTAACATGTGTAGATCGTCAACCCCAAGGGTGAGATGAAGGGCTCTGCCATCACTGGCCCCGTCGGTAAGGAGGCTGCTGAGCTGTGGCCCGTAAGTTCCCCCCCATTCTCGACTGTCGTTGTTCCTTGTACTAACACCTTCCCAGCGTATTGCCAGCAACTCCGGTGTCGTCATGTAAAGTGCTTGCTTGCGAAAGAGAATCAAGGAAAGACAAAAGGGCGTGCGGTGCGTGGTGGTTGGGTTTCTGTCCCGAATGCGATCAGATAGAGCGCGGTAAAGAAACATCTGTTCCCCCCCTCCCCCAAAGAACTTCTTTTATTTATTTCCCTCCTGTCCAACAAGAATTGGTAGGGGGGAAAACTGGGGTGAGGGTTGTTTTTTATCAAAATCGGGGCAATGTTCTTTTTATCTACTACTTTTAAAGTCGCTGGATTTGGCACAAGGCTCTTGCATTTCGGTTTGCGGCGTGTAAGGATGATTCACATACCAGGCATTCACATCAAGGACAAAACAAAAGTCACTTCAAACGATCTTCTCCTGGGCGTTGTGTTCTTTTTGGGTTAAACTATGTGCAATTTTTCTCGCCGTGAACCTGTGAAGTCATGATTGGTGATGTGCATGAACCTCTGTAGTCCATGGGCTATAGTCTAGTACTCCTCTTCAATATGCCAGCGGATTGGTAATCTATCGATGAAATCTGTTGCAAATCCTGCTTGTAAGTCTTGATTGGTCCAGAAGAGCTGGATTTGCATGCTCTTGCTGCCGATGTCGCACAGCATCTACCCTATGGGAATAACTTGTTTATTATACATATCCTTTTCTTGCCATTGAGAGGTGTATTGAAATAAGACAATCTGTCTATAAACAAAGTGGTTTATAATAGTACCTGAATTCATAACACAGCTGCTATCGTGCCCTTTTTAGCTTATTGTCGTTTAGAGATTGCTGATTTCACTTCTCGTTTGTAGTGTAGTAATCAAAATTAACTACGAGGCAAGTCACATATTGGATCCATTTACAACACAGTCACAATCACACCAAAGCAGACATTCGATGTATATAACTTGGCATTAAAATTCGTCTTTTAGGCGCTTGCTAATAAGCTCGCCACACCTTTTCTCACGCTATAAAACCTTCCAACTTGGGCGAGTCGCTCATCTGATGCATGCCGAACGATTATGCAAAGACCTCCCCTCCATCGCATGCATATATCCATGTATGAATGAACATGAAGAAAGAACAAAACAGAACTAAAAACTAAAAAACAAGACAAGAAACGAACGATGGTTCTTCGCATCTAGTGTACAAGAGAAAAAGCGTGCATCGGAAACTGCATCCAAAAAAAACCTCTCTTGTTTGGTCCGTAGTATACAGAGTGGTTGTATGTATATACCAGATGAGACTGCATGTCTCGTGGTGGGTCGTGAGTGTTACATTGAGCTACTGGGTTGAATGCCGGAAGCTCGAGACGTTATTGCTTTTTTTTTGATTCATATTTTTGGTTCTGTGTGTGTGGAAGTGTCATCATTGGATGACCAGTCTGGAGACCAGTTTCGTGCTCTCGAATCCTCTAGTAGGGGTATCCCATACCAGGCATTCCGTGGCTATGGCCGTGGCTGTGGTGCTGAGGGTGGCCATGCATGAAAGGAGGAGGCGGGTTTCCAGCTTGATGAGGAGGTGGTGGAGGGGGAGGAGGTAGATGTTGAGGGTGAGCTGGATGCATCGGAGGCTGTTGCTGAAGATGCAGCGGGTGAGGCGGGTGTTGATGCTGATGCTGGTGAGGATGATACTGGTGAGGAGGAAGCTCATGCTGAAGAGGGTGCATAGGCGGCGGTTGATGCAGCATGGGCGGTTGCTGTGGTGGCATCTGTGCTTGATCAGGCTGCATCTGCATCTTGAGAGAAGAAGAGTCTCTCTTGACGGTGGCTTTGCCTTTAGGCTTGTTGGGAGCGGCGACACCTGTTCTCTGCTCGGCTGCCGCTTGAGCAGCCTTCTTAGCCGCCAGGGTCGCCTTGCGTTTCTCAACGGCTCCAGCCATATTTCCATTGGCCCAACGGTCTGTGTTTGTGTTAGCTTGTGAATAGCAAAGAATAGCATGTTAGGAAACTTACTCTTCATAGATGCAGACATCTTCTCTGACTTGGTCATGGACTTGTAATCTTTGGGGGTATCATCTCCATCGTCCCCTGCAACAGATGGAGGAGCGGAGGGAGGTCCTGTAGCAGCAGCAGCAGGAGGAGGAGGAGGCGCTTGAGGTGCAGGTGTCCCTCCGTTCTTGGCATCCTGGCCAGATCTGACAACTTTGATCTTTTGAATCTTACGGCTGTTTGGTACCTGTGCTGGTTCAACAGAGGGAGCTGGTGTAGAAGCATTAGATGGAACCTCAGTGGTGGCAGTGCCCCCGCTGGTTCGCTTGCCCTTCTTCTTGGGCGGTGCCTGAGCCGACTCTTCAGCTTCGTTGGGATCGTCACGGAAGCGCTTCTGTCGCTTGGGTCGGAACGAATAAGATGACTCAACAGTGTGGCCAGAAGCTTCAGAGGACGCGGTGGTGGGGCGAGAGTCACCGTTATCGGTGATCTCGTTTTCAGGTGTGACATCGGTATAGTAGGCCCTGGGAAGCTTGAGAGTAACAAGGGCACGGCGGACAGGCGCCTTCTCTTCCTTCTCCTGCACTTCTTCTTCCTCTTGGGGTTCGTCATCGACAAACTCATTGGGATCAGCCTCTTCGTACTTGACGGCAGGTCTGGCCCGGCCACGACGAGTAGGTTTTGCGGGGGATTCTTGAACAGGTTCCTCAGCGTCTGGTGTAGGGGCATGTTCTTCGGCAGTAACAGCATTCTTGCCGCGACCACGCTTACGTCTAGTCTTGGGACCAGAAGCCTCATTGTCCGAGGCAGCCTCAGTGTTGAAGCTGACTGAAAGGTTGGTTTGAGGCTCATCCTCAGCGTTGGCGTTCTTGCGTCGACGACCACCACGAGTGGGTGGCACAGGTGTTGAGCTTCGACTGACATCCTGTGTTACGGGATCGAAGAGCTGGACAGGCTTGCGCTGACGTTTGCCGACAACCTCATCCGTCTCAGTGGCCTTGGCGGTCTGTCGGGGTTGGTTTCGTAGAGATCGTCCACGGGTCATGATTCCGACCTGTTGGGTTTCGGGGTTTTGCTTGCCAATCTTTGAAGGATGAGGATCGTATTCAAAGCCGTAGGCAGCAGCCATAATACGATCTTGTCCTTGAAGATAACGGGTCTCGTTGAGACCTTCCTTGTCGCGAGACTTGTAGCCCTTGACAGCGAATTCAGGTTCTTCGTAGTTAAGGCCATGCTGGTTGAGGTTGCGAGTACGGGCTTCGTACTTGGCATCGGCAGCTCGTCGACGGAGCGAGTTCTCGTAATCGTCAACAACAGCGCCCAGATCATTCCACTCGTCCTGCCACTGAACCATGGAGACATTGACGGCCTCGAGGAGTTCGTATAGGTCTTCAGTTGACATGTCCTCGTAGTTCTCGAGGATGGAGATGTACTCCTCAGGGTCTCTGAGCTTTCTATATTTGTAATAACGTGTACGTTCTGGAACTTCCTGAGATTCAGAGACGTCAGCGTCATCACCATCATCTCCACCTGGAGCGGGTGAATTGAAAGCTGTAGGATCTGTGGAGTCGGCCACTGGAGAGCCGCGCGTAGGAGTATTCAGTGCTGGTGTAGGTGCTTCGAGGCCCACCCCATCCACGATATCATACTGATCGTCCACCATGGGCTCCATATCAGTGTCCTTTCCTTCAGGTGTTGTGTCATCATTGGCACCGTCTTCATCAGAGCGA